TTCCCCCCCCCCCCCCCCCCCCCCCTCTTTTTTTTTTTTTGTTGGGCACAGGCAAGAAGGAGGACTACCTGTTCTCGGGCCTCCACTTCGGTATCGATTCTGACTCGCGTATCGCACTCGTCGGTCCCAACGGAGCAGGGAAGTCCACACTCCTCAAGGTATGTGCGTTCGTGTGTGTGTTTTCCTTGAACTATCGGCGTTTACTGGTCTGATATAAAAGACGAGGCCACCAGTTTCGAAGCCCAAACGACAGCAACAGCAGTACCCCCCTTCAGTCGGGAGGGAATTGGATCGAGCTTGGTTGATGCATTGCTTTCCCTCGGTAGAGTTCCGACTCTTTTTTGGGCACAAACAGTAGATGGTCTACACGGAACATCCAAGATACCAAAGTCGTGGAAATACAGGTAGCCTCCGCTGACGATCCAACCCCTCCCGTGTGTGCTCAGCTGTCCAGTTTTGAAGGCTTGTGATGTAAGCGACAGCGGTTCCAATACTTGACCAGTATTGAGGTCTCAGCGACAGTTACAGCATCCCCACCGAAACCCCTTGTCTTCTGAGCTTACCATTTTCAAGTACTAACGAAAGTTTCAGCAATGCCCCCACCCCAGTAGACTTAGCTCGCCACTCTTGAAGTCAAACGGACAGTTACAGTAGCCCCCATTTCCAACCCTTTGTCCTCTCAGCTCATGGTGGGGCAGTTGCAGCCGGTGGAGGGGAACGTGTCGCGCCGATCAGGGCTCAGCATCGGGCGATACCACCAGCACTCAGCCGAGGTGCTGGACCTCGCCAAGTCTCCGGTGGACTACTTGAAGGTTGGTGTTGGTGTGCCTTGTTTTTTGTTTTTTGTTGTGTATGATGAGGTCTTGAGTGTGTGATGGGTGAGGGGGGGGCAACCAAGAATGGTTGATTGGTGGTGGTGGTGTTTTTCTGCTCTCTCCTTTTCTTTTTTTTCGTGATGAGGTGATTCGTTCGTCATGGGTGGGTGGCACACGAGCATGGGCGGTGGTGGCGTGACTTTTTTTTTTCATGTTGAGGTGATTCGTTCGTCATGGGTGGGTGGCACGCAAGCATGGGCGGTGGTGGCGTGACTATTTTTGTTAATGTTGAGGTGATTCGTGCGTGATGGGTAGGTGGCAACCAAGAATGGTTGATCCGTGGTGTGCCTGTTTTTTCCCATGTTGAGGTCACATGTTGGGATGGGTAGGCGGCACCAAGCATCAAGGGGCGGTGAATAATGTGCAGTGATGCCCACGATGATCCCTCTCACACTTACTAATTCCCTTCTTTTTATGCTTTTGTGCTTTTCCTTGTAGAATTGCAGCCAGCGGTCGGGGTTAAGGTTCGCGCCATGTGCAAACGCGTACGTTCAAGCGCTTTGTTTTTCTTTTTTTTTTACACATGTTTTCATTTTTCTGTTCTTTTTCCCTTACAGGATAAGTTCTGCGACAAGTTCCCGGAGCTGAAGTTCGAGCAATGGAGGAGCAAGGTCGGCTCGTTCGGCGTAACCGGCGACGCACAGCTCAACCCCATCGAGAACCTCAGGTGTGTGGAGCTCCAACCAGCGTCCAGCTTCAGGCAAAACGTCAACTGCTGTAGCTGTTGCAAACTTTGTCTCTCTTGTTTAGCCCTATCACACACCCTGGCCCGGCTTTCAAGGCTCGATTACTACTCCACGGCGGTTAAGAGTGACGGTGCCGACAACATCGCGGCGTTGGTATCTACCGCCTCGTCGAGAGTTATGCGTCCTCTTCCGTCGTGGGGTCATTAGAGTATTCTTTGAACGTCGGTCCAAGGGGTACGCCATGTTACGCCACCCTTCCGTACTGCTGTGGCCGGGTTGTGGAGAGGGTAAAAAGCTCCGGCCTGGCGCCCCTGCTTCCCGGCGCCAAACCCTGTTCATCGCTCTCGGACGACCAATCAGGGAGAGCGGCGGCAGACTCGAGGA